GCTGATTGAGCAATACCTTGTAGAGAATCAGAATATTGCCATGTATGATTGACTGACTGATGGATTTATATTTTCGTAGCCACAAGTAGACGATAGTTAGGGAAGAAAAAGGAACAGAAATATACACGTTTATATAAACAAAAACAAACGCACGCTACTGGAAAGCAAAAGTGGTTCTGAGAATCAATAAAGTTTGCTGCCTTATTTTAAAGCGATTAAAACAAGATAGTTCTTGAGTTTCGTTTTAAACGACTTTATTGTGGATGATGTAATAACAGCTTCGGGAAGGATTAAATTCTAGTCTGAAGCTGTTTGGCAGATCAATGTTTGTAGAACGGTTTCTGCTCTAGTAAAGGGAGTTTGTACTATTCTCGAACGACTAAGACGGCTTGATCTTCTAGATTTGTCGTACTGGATAAGTTTTAGTCTAGATAAAGGAGAGAGGCCGTTAAGGGTTTAGAAAAAATGTATAAGACGAAAGTATTTTCATCTTAAATGAAGCGCAGGCAGATTCAATCTTCTAAGTAAATTTTGACCGGGAGTAGAAAAGTTTCGAGTGACCATATGAACTGCTGGATGTTGGCTGGACTCAAGACGAGACACCTGAGTAATGAAAGGGGTGTCATAAAAGGCACAGGCATAATCTAGCTTAGTGAGGATACAATTCTTATAGATTTGAAGATGTATATGAGCGGATGCTTGTTTAAACTGTCCCTACGTAGCTCCAGGACGTTGCCGACAAGTTCGTGCTAGTACAAATTCTCATTGTTATTCTATGTTATTTTTTTCAACGTAGTTAAGCTTGGTAATGCTTGACTAATATTCAACCGAGTGAATTCATATGTATTCTTACCACAGAGTATAAATAACGACAGCGCAAAATTTAGCATTGTTTGATTATATCTAACATTATTTTTTGGACATTTTAAATTCGATGTTATATTATTTATTAATGTTGTTAAAAATCCTTCTTGATGCTTATCCAGGGAGATAGTACTACTTTTATATAGGAAATTAATGCTTTCAATAATGGATGTTTAATTATTAATTTGTTCAATGATGAGCGTAGGATAAGTTGGTTTGATATTCTAATATTTTTCCAGAATATTCTCAGTTAGACGTGTGACAGAATGGTGAAAGAGTGTGACATGAACAACTTGCCGAGCCCTCTCCAACGCACCTACTCCTGAAATCTGGAAACCTTCTCGAATAAAGATACGAGTCCAAAACTGAGTTTTTTCTACGAGAGCATATTTCAAAAACTCATACTTTCTGCAAACATTCTCGGTGTGACGTGTGACAGATACAAAAACTACTGTGACATGCACAACTAGACGAGCTCGTTCCAATGGTATGTTCAGTATTTATACTAATCCCAAAAACATGAGAAATACTGAATGAATGAGTATTATACTTACCATAGCAGGAAAATATTTTCGATGTGGCGTGTGACAAACTTAAAAGCTAGTGTGACACATAGTGCTCAACGAGCTCTTTCGAATGGTATATTATGACTACTTTGTGTACAAGTGTGACGCATGCAACTATTCTATTTTTGTTATTGAAGTTTGAAAATCAGGAAAGGCGCTCCGTTGATCGTTTGCTGAGTACTTTGTTTTATTTGCAAAAAAAGTTCTTTGAACCCTCATTATCGAGCAGATTTATTTTGAAGTGACCTTTTTAACAAAAGAAAAAATGAAGAAGGAGAAAACCACCGAAAAGCACAATTCATATATTAATATTTGATAATTATCGAAAAATAATAACATAATAATGAATCTTTAATTCGCGATGTTCGGATTAGAGTTTCCTATTTTCGATAGAAACAGTCGCATTAATTCATCATTGATTTCGTGGAGAGTAGTAGATGGCTGATAATTTGGTTGTGCAGGGATATTTGTTAACTGTACAATCGGCGACTGAGCGGAGGAAGAACAGCGATATTTGAAGAAGTAAATAAGGGCTGCGACTCCTATGAAGCCAATAATTCCTACAGCAATAATTGTGGGAATTGTATGCTGTGATTTTAATTGAACTGGGCCAATATTCCAATTCAACATATTGTGCTGCTGAATTACTAACTGGTCTTCTAACGAGTTAATTAGATCCACGGCACCAGTATGGGGATATAATTTGGCATACTAACATTTACATGCTTTATTCGGTCGAATACACGCGTTATCTCGTCGGAATACGTTTTCAGAATATAGGGCTTAATGTTGTTACACCTTTTTCCTCCTGCAAACGTAATGTTACCTTCACATGTTAATATTTCTTCACAACCAAGATTTACGATACCTAAATCTTTAATATGATGCCAATCTATACTATTTATCACGCATGATAAACTTTTGTTGGTAGAAATAGCTAAAACACCAGGTGAAATACGAACTACGTACGGCGAAGTATACGATGATGGTTTTGTATAGCACCTTTGCACACCTTTGCCGGCGACTATCTCTTCTAAACATTCATTTTGAATTCGGTTATGTATAACTGGAGGATTTCGACACACGGTATAAATTCCATAATTACAATTGTTTGCATCAAGTTGCTCTAACCATTCCATGTAAGATCCATCTTCACCGATGGCAAACAGTTTGGCAGACTATATATCTCCACAGGTTTCCTCCCATAAAAATGCGGTAATGTTATAATAGAATATATTTGCGTATAGACATTTCCCGATGTTTTCAGCTTGCTGAAATAACTGATAAAAACCAAATTCCCCCATTTGTTGTGTCACGAATTTACTAACGTTAGACGCAGCATTCATTTAGAGGCCCAAATTGAACAGATTGAGCAAACAGCATTCGATTGATGAACGTGGATTTGGACTCTTGTATAGTGGGAACAGAATCGTTTAATTTGGCGTAGGCCATTTCGATTAATTCATTTTGCTCAGACATGGCCAAAAAATCAAAACTGAGATCATTCTTTGTAATGCGATTCATGGATGACTTTAGTCTTTCGTAACATTATTAATAAAAAAATCGAACGTTGTCACGAGTTTGCTCGTCACTAACGTCTTGCAGATTTTTGACCGCAGACAGAACGCCTGTAAGAGTTTTTTTCCAGTTGTTGACTATTAAATTCACTCTGTTCGAATTTTTTTGCTAGTTGAACTGTCGTCTGAGTGACATCATACAGTGAACCTTGAACGGTGGCAAACTTCTGTGAAAAGTCTAACATTGTGTTCTGTAACTGATCCATCCGATCCGACAATTTCTGATTTGTGACAGAGTTGTAAACACCGATACCACCGCCAACCATTGCTCCGATAACACCAACGAAACCCAATATAAGAGGTAGTAATCATTTTGATCTATTTTCGACTTCACTCCAGTTATCAGAAGATAATGTTCCACGTTGATGATGGGACTGAGAAAGTTCCACAAGTCTGGCGTGATATTTTTAACACATTACTATTTTGTTTGACAGTTCCATAGATATTAACGGACACATGTGTTCGGTTATTCGAACAGACATCGCAATAGCAAACATATCATCAACTTCAAAATATTTTCCGATCCTTATTAAAACGACTCCAGACGTTTCGTCGACGATTAACGGTTCTTCTCGAATAATATGATTAAAAATTGAATAATTCTCACCGCCGACAAGAAATATCTCATCCACCAATAGCTTAATAGCAATGAATACAATACTCGTCTGTTTTGTAACAGCCATCTAATTCGACCGTTGACAATTATTGAATTTATAATTTATGAAAATAGATTATATTTAGTACAAACTACTCGTCTTTTAATGATGTTTTATAAGAGTAACTTAAGAGAGAGTGATGATGGCATATACATTAAAAACTTGTTTGCCGTGAGATGAAAGATGTTATGAACTCAACTATTATACGATCATTTTCTAAATAATGTTTAATGGAATTAAAAAAAATTCAGTGAAAAAACGGATGATACAGATAATCGTTGGGGTTTGATTGCAGTTACTGATGGTTTTTTGGCCGGCGTCAAAAAATTGGGAAACGGTTATCGTGATTTGGATCATGATGAAGTAGGTTTCAGATCAGAAGATTCAATTTGGGGTAAGTTAGCAACTGAACTGCAGATGGAAAACAACAAAATTAGTAGGAAATGGTTATATAGCGTTTAGAAAGGAGATCGACGTAACGTAAGATCCATTTTCCTTCCTTCAGAGAGAAGGAAAAACGGACGATGAAGTTGCTACACATCAGCCGGATGCTAGTCGCACAATATCATTAAATAGTAATCCGTCGTTCAAATACTGCTACTTGAAGTTAGAAAATTCCAATACTTCAATGCTTCATTTTTTTTTGCACTTCTTCATGTTTGATAAAAAAATGTGGTGTCTGTTGCTCCGTATCTCTACTGCAACCACCTAATAAAAGTAAGCATGCAGTTTTCGAACTGCGAGTACAGTAAATCACAATTTGGAAGAAGATACTGCTGCTCGTCCAGTAACTGGTGCTGATAGAATAACTATGGGCAAGTCTACATTGAAACTATCTGACCCGTAGTATGACATATCTGCATTGCAGGTAAACGTGCCAACGAAATGGGTCCATTACGAGTTTTTGAAGAGAACATTGAAAAAGCTAATCCGAGCTTGTTAGATGCTGGCAATTTTACTAGTTGTCCTACAATAACAGCCATAAAGGCTATGGCGGCTGAATATCGCCAAGAAAATCAGTTAGATCAAGATTATCACAGCGAAGTCAGACTCTTGTCTCATGCCTTGGATATTGCTGATACAACCTCCAATACTTTGAAAGGTAAAAACTAAATAAAGTGTCGGAAATTTAAAACTAGCGCGGGAGTTTTTTTCATTTTATTTTCTCTTGGTCGAATAGAACTCGTCGAGAAATACGCAAAACTCCATCTGTATCGCGCTTTTTTTAATTTCGAAACTATTTAATTCTAATTCAGCATCCTATTTTTAGTATAAAAAAAACTAAACTTGGCATTTTTAAAACCTCCATGTTTTTACAACACCAATTTCATTTTTGGAGTCAGCCTCAAAAACTGAAACGGACGATGTGTTTCAGAAGTTTTGAAAAACTTGAATCTTTTTTCGACAATTCTGAAACAAACTTCGTTCACAAGTGTTTGCGAAAACTGAGTGACTCAGATTTTGATGCGTGTTTCAAAGATGAAATTAGTTTTGCCAAAAAAAAGATAACTAGATGAACTTTATCCGACCATGAGGAAAAAACATAATTATAAAACTTGCTCAGGTTTTGAATTTCTATCATCTTGCACTTCTTCGACCGTTATGTTCTACATTTAGCGCGTGCTTTATAGGTTTCGTGCAAACACTTGCCATCAAGCCGTTCACTATTCACATGATAAATGAACAACAAATTAATCGATACGCTGATTATTGTAGATCGAATAAGTACTCTATGATACATATTGATGCAGCGGGCTCTGTCATTAAAAAACTGTTCGGTCACAAACATCCTTATTTCTACAGCATTATTTTTAAGGATAATGAGAATCCTTCAAGTGTGCTCCCACTTGCCGGTGCTGTATTAACCGATCACAGTGTTACTGGTGTCAGTTACTTTCTGAGCACAGTAAGAAAATGTATTGTTACTGTTACGGGAAAATTTATTCGGCCAGCATTTATATAGTTATAGATTTTTCAGCTGCACTACTAAATTCGGGTCTAAACACATTTAATACCGAGAAGATTAACAGATATCTCCGACGGTGTTGGAATGTTTTGTCAAGAAAATATACTTTATTTAAAAATTTTCCCAGATCGGTTTTGCTATGAGAAAAAACTTTTGAAAAACTAGATTAAAACGATATCTGTGCATTTAAGAAAATCGAGTTTAGTTTATTTTTTGACTAACTAAAGCGATTTATTTTTAAACTCTCATTGATCTTCCTCTCACTTTCGATGAGTTATCTAATGCACATATTGGTTTTTTGTTCAAGTGCTTTAGTGCCCAGAAACCTGGTAACTCACAGACACGACCATTTGGGTGCCTCATATTAACACACACATCCGACCTGCTGGAAGTTGTTTGGTTTTAGCTATAACTTGAAGTTCGAAATACACTTGTATGGTTTCGTTACTGACTACTCAAGTTGGAATAAAACGCAGAAGATAAAAATACATGAAGGTTTTGAGGGAATTCCGGACAACATAATTCTAGATTATTTCAGCATAAAATAAATTTATCTCATATTAAGTGATTTGTAAAACATTTGCGTCAGATGAAACTCACTGTGGCTCATAAACAGAAGCATTACAGAGAAAATCTGAAGAAAAAAGAGTTCTTCACAATGCTGTTTCGACAGAAAAATACTTAATACTCACCTTAAAAAATTTAAAGAAACTCGTCAGCTTAATTACAAAAGTCAAACTGTTCATTTACGCAAGTACAATAAAAACAGAGCACTTGTTTTTCACCGAGAACTATATACAAAATGAGCTACGGCGTAACTCTTTATCTCTCTCTTTCTTGCTTATATTGCAAATTATTATAAAGAGACAATTACTACACAATGATGACTGTCAATTCTTCCAATGATCATCATACTTTTCTTTCAAGATATCCGTCCATGGTACAAGATTCTACACAACCCGTCCTGATATCTAATCAAAGCCTGCCTCTGCAGATGCAAAGCCAAGTGTTCTAGCAAGGAAAAGATATGCCTCATTATTTACGTGATCAACAGCAAGTACCTGTGGTTATTATACAAAATGGTCAGTTGTTTCCATTAAATCAGAACTTTCTTTCTCCGTTATACGGTTTTCCACCTGCTTAATTATCAAGGTCAACAAGTACATATAATATGGCTCATAGCGGCGAACAAATCCAAGTTTCTGAAAATACCTATGCTAGTCCACGAGAATCTAATGTTCATTCAACTCCAAGCGTCAATAAACGGACTCATGATGATGTTGGTCATTCTTTTGAGAACGAAAATGAAAATGCATCGAATACAACTATATTGTCCCTGAGAGAAAATAATGGCGAGCAATCATCACGACATAATAATGAGAAATTTATTTCAAGTCGAAATCGTACGTTCCACATTTCCAATCATTTACAGAATCATGTCCAATCTACATTACCAAATCAGCAAAGAGCATCTGATCAAATTCTGAATCAGTAACAATCAATAAATAATCTTCCTACACAACAAACAAGTCAACGTAATCCAACTGGAAATACGACATTTCACCAGGTGAATGAAAATCAAAATGTGATTACTAACCAAGCACAACGTTTTGCTACAACTCGCTATCCGTTCTCTCCGTTCATTGTTCATTTTAAGGAAGATATTCTTGATAAATTAGTGGTTGAACCTTTAGTCAAACATGGAAAAGAACAGTTTAATGATTTTGATTTACGCGTTATGGGTTACCGTAGAACGCAGATAAATTCTGCTGTTGCTGAACATGATGTTTTAATATTTGTGGAAAATACACAATCATTTGCATTTTTACTTGATGTCGGAAACTGGCCTGTGCAACTTGTTGGAAAAGAATATAGTCGAAAGATGCCTTCTATTCCTCCTCAATTATCTGGTGTTATTCAAAACGGTGCTTTTAATGTCGATTGGGATGAATTTGTTCAGGATATTAAACGTCAATATGCTCGAGTGATCAATGTTATTCGATTGAAAAATCGTAATCACAAAAGATCTTAAATTAGTCAAAGTGGAATTTAAGTTCGATACTGTTCGTAATGAATTTTTGGAAGGAAAATATGTATATGTGCATTTTATGCGGTATCCAGTAGTGGAATATATGGCTTTGACTCAAGTACTAATATTTTCTCGATGTATGCAAATTGGTCACTTCCAGAAAAATTGTCCACAAAAAGATGAAGTAACTTGTAAAAGATGTGGAGCAAAATGTGCTGATATCAAAAAGCACGAATGTCAAGGTGTTCCTAAATGTATTCGTTATGGTGGAGATTACAAGTCCAGTGACACTAAATGCCCAAAAGTTAAAGATTATCGAGCCGCTTTAACTCGTACTCTTCCAGCAACAAGAAATAATGTTCAAGTTACTCAACCTGTATAAAATAATCTTGCTCTAATTACATCGAATTTTCCTTGGCTTAACTATTCGTCTCCAACTAATACACTAACTACTAATAACAACCATGTTGATGCAATTGAATGTTCGATAAGTTACGAGAAGCTATGATAGAAGAAGGCAAAAAGACTCGTGAAAGTTTTGATCAATTTAAAGAAGAAATGTTTCAGAGAGATAAAGTATATGAGCAAGAAATATCTAATTTGAAATCTAAAGTCACAACGCTGGAGAATCAACTGACACAACAAAATTTGGCACAACAAGAAATCATGATTCTTATCACAAGTATAATACAAGTAATGAAATCTGGAATGAAAAAAGGTGAAGATATAGGTCCACATAGTTGTATGATTGGTGAACTTATGTCTAAATATCATATTAATCCTCGAGATCTCAACTTGTATACTACAAAAACATAATGTCTTGGAATCCAAATGCAGTTTCATTTATTCCAAGTACTATGGTATAATAAACAGCAAGTAAAGTAGAAGAACTGTTTAGAACATCCAACAGAACAATAAAACAATTACATTTGGTCACCGAGATGAGGGCGTAGGCGACCTTTAAAGACCGATAAAGAAACAACAATAGCATTCGAAGAGTTAGCAGGATCAGAATTTCTAATGACGTGCGGCGGAAGCATGTTCCACTCGTCCGCTGTTAGATAGAAGAATGATCCTTGTACACTATTCTTTGATGCAAAAGGAACAATCACAGCGAAAGGATTTTGATTTAGGGGAAGACTGGCTCTTGTGTGACGCATGGAAATGATACAAAATTTAGACAGAGGAAAGATGTCGAATAACACCTTATACAAGTGTAGAAGGCGAAAGTAGCGTCTACGGGAGACAAGATCTGGCAGCTTTAGTTTATGGAGAAGATCATCACCGTTAGAATGAAAATCACAAAATCATACATGCTGCTAGCCTGTGCGTAGAAGCTAGCCTAGAATAGAAAGACGTAAACAAACTGTCGTAAACAATTGATCCATAGTCTATAGCACTCATGATGCACGCTCGATAGTTTGTAGCTTAATTTCCGCTGGAGCATTCTGAATGTTCTATTCATCGCAGCTAGACGACGTCTAAGCGAAATAACTAGTCTGTCATTAGTCCTGATTCTAGCAGAACGAATCTCTATCAGTACATAATAGCCTTTTTTTAATGACAAAAATATATCTTGAGAATAAATATGTTTTGAAAAGATCATGTGGATTACGAATTTTTTCGACCTGAAAAAACGTTTCCAAAAGCTAGGAACTAGTTTTTCTTCATCAGTGGCTCACGTTCTATCAAACCATATATAAAATAGCACAAAAAAAGTTTTTACTGGAAGTACGAATTTCCGGTACCTTAATTAAAAACTTCTTCGAGCGAAACTTCTTCGAACATCACCGTATCAAGAACCAGCAATTTCCCCGAACTTGATGCATACATTCGCAAATTAATATTAGATTCCACCCCACCTGGTAAGATCCGACGATATTCCTTCAATGCAGAGAAAAACAAAATGTTATATGGAATACAAAACTATCGCTACTGTAATTTCATCCAGCGCCATCATTGATCCAACAATATCTAGTACGTATAGCAATATTTCATGTCTGGGTTTAACTGCATCCCGGTTCATTTTCCTCAAGCCTTCCCACAATAACACTACAATACGAATCTCTTCATACGCGTCATACCGACCTAAACATGCAATCTATCATTTAGTTTCACCGTCCAACTAACTCGTGGCATATATTACCCGTATTGAGGAGTATATGAAAGTAAAATACGAAGATTTTCAATAGAACAAAGCTCACAATAAACTAGATATTCAATTTAATGGTTTTCTAGGACAATACTGATTGGTAATATAACGTTCGAAGAAGGCGTGATCGAAAGCTTACAGTGTTTTAACATAGGTAAACCGAGAATAAGTAAATAAATATTATTCAATTTTCTAGATGTATTCTTATGATAAACTGTTAATGAGAAAAGACGAAGTAGAGAACATAGACCAATAAGAATCGTTTCCAGTTCATCAGATGGAATTTCGATAAAGAACCAACGATTCCAAACGGACGGACGATGCAACAATAGAAAAGAATTTGAAAAGCAAAGCGTTTAAACTAGAATTCAACATATCAAGTGCAAAGATTCGGTGTTTGCTAGGGATAATGATACGGTTACATTGATGTCGAAGAGACGATTTTTATTGAACATTTTATTTGATTTTGAGGAGAAGAAATGAACTACAGAAAAGATTTTAAAACGACAGTTCAGGTTGAAAAAAGCATCGAATATCTTACAACCATCGAGATACTCATAAATTTCCAAGAAAACATCATTGGGTATGTCGTCGATCGATGAGATTAATTTCCTATCTTTGTCTTTTTCATCTGATCCTTCATTCATATTCATTCAAAGAATCAACAACGATCATCTACAACAATAGGAACTAAAAAACGTTCTTTCAATCACATTTTTTACAAATTGACAAAGAAAACGGAAGCAATTCACGTCATTGCGCCATAAAAGTTACATTTGTTCTACTTCTGTGACAATTGATTCAAAAAGAACGAACAAACAAACAGAGAACACACTCATCAATGAATCTTTTTTTTTTATCAAAATCACTCCGATTTCAAAAAAAACCCTATTACCACTATCTTTGATCAGATAGTTAGGTAGCAGTCTTTCCAATTCGATCAGGCTTTGTAGGTAATGAGTGATGTCTTCACTGGTATTTGGAATACACAAATATAACGATTAAAGCTGAGAAATGACGGTGTCGCCCTTGTTAATAATAAATCATACAAGCATGTCTAAATCCATATTTGTAGTAATATCAACTTGGAAATGTTGCATAGACAAGCAGAGATAAAGAAGATGATTAATACTAAGCTGAATAGTTGTAGTCAATTTAGTCGATGTTTTGCTGCCTGGAGATGATGGCAAGTTTAGCCCATTTATTCAAACATGTGTCAATGTCCGCATGTTCAACAGTATCAAAGCAACTCTTCCTGAGGAAAAAAAACAAATCTCTTGCAGAAAAACACGATTGTTAATGTACCTGTGTAAATGAATTGAACAGATCACGTCACTCCACGTCACTTCATTCAATACTTGGCAAAAACTAACGAAGGTCAAATAATAATGACAATAAATCTTTCCGTATAAAGATGACACAAGAAGTGCAGAAAACAGATTCCCTGAGTGGAGTTTGTAACGAATGAGTTTTCATAAAACATCATTGAATCGTGATTTGTATACTTTTGCATTCACTCTTCTTCTTATAAACTGGAGAGAACGTGAATATGCTCTTGCTCATGTAAAAAGAAATCAACCAACATTAGACATTATATCGATTTTTTGCGAAATATCATCGCATGATGTTTGATAGAAAACATAAGAACATGAACCGATGAATTCTCTCGACCACTGAAACAACTGCATGGTTCAACAACAAAATACAGAACGATGAAAAAGTCGAATCCTCAAGATGAAGAACAATTATGAGCTGATTTTAACAAATTTAAGTCATTCATTCACTATTACGAATTGAGTCTTTGATCGGAGCAAAATTATCATCTAATGAGAGACAAGAGCTACTCGTTTTCTGCAAAAAAAAACAATATGCAGATAATCCTATTGAGTTGTAGATTATAAAAGAATTCGTCCTGCCGATCAATAAAGCATTGTGAGAGCGAAATATTGAATTTGCTTTATTTGTTTTGCAGAGATCTGTAGATAAATATACACAAGCTCGATCGTTTTGCTGTATTGTCAATGCATTAAACAATATTGAAAAAGTACTTTTCGAAATTGTTACTGTCTTCATTATCGAAACTATCAAACTGTTTGGTGTCTAAGGAAGGAAAAGCTGAATAACGACAGAAGTGAAGGACGCCGTGTGTCGAAATCCTATTGATAAAAGATGATTTATAGGATTGATCGAAAATAACTTCAGTGTTCTATCATCAGTGATATTGTCAAATATCTGAAGAAACTGATTCGATGTATTCAGAATTTGTCATTGTTCCAAATGCATATCTTTAACTCGATTTTATTCAAATAGTAGTTCGTCAGTTATATATTCTTGTGCTTTTACACGTGGTATAGTGACGCCCAAAGCATCTTGATCGTATACAAAGAAAAAGACTGTTACTACATCGAAAACAATATCATTTGTTTGGATTCTCGTTTCTTCTAAAGTTGGATCTAGCTTCCTTCCTCTTCTTCTTCTTCGATACACCATGTAAATGCACAACTTTCCTTTCATTCCTCTTGCAAATTCAATCATAGCGGATTAATGGAGTGCGAAATCCGCGTTTATAAGTTGCATTGTAAAGTGGAAGAAAACAATTTTCGAAGCAAACATTTGATAGAGTAAATGTGCATCAAGATCACTATAACATATTGTATCCATGATAAAGATGTTAACAAACACATGGTTATTATTTCCATTATCATTTGACCATTTGTTTCCACAGATGAATAGATGATGATCAAGAAGGAGATATATGCTTTTTATCAATGCAATGAAATATGCAAATCAAAAAGATCAATACACAAGAAGATAGAAAGCAACAATGAACAAATAAATACAGTGGAATAGAACTTATGTTTCAAGATAAATTCTCGATAAAACAAAAGCAAATACCGTTTAACTGAAGCATACACAGTGAAAATTAAGGATCGAGTGACAAATGTATACTCAATACAGATCCAAAACATACAAAAAACCTCACTCGAACAGTATTGCACATGTCCAAAATAAAAATAAACCAAATTCAATGGAATCATTTGAACAGAGTCATTGAGAAGAAGACAGAAAATAATGTGATGATTGATATTCGCATAGATGAACGTTTTTTCCGATGCTTAATGAAATGATGAAAATCGAAAGGAAAACAAAAATTCAGATTGAAAAAGCCGTTAGATATGATATAATCATCGACATATTCATAACTTTCCAGACTACGGCGTTTTCATCTGATGATAAATGAATAGAAAGTGATCGATGATTCATTCAGTTGTTCGAAAAAATCAAATCAATCAGAACATATTTTATTCAATCAATGATTAACAATAGAATATAAGAAACTAAAAACAGACTAAGCAGTTACTGGAGATAAATCCAAATCAGTTCCATTTCAAAAGAATATTATTACCACTACGTTTGATCATATAGTTAAACAGTAGTCCTGTCGATTCGATCAGGTTTTCTAGTTGATGAGTGATGCCTTCATGGGCATTTCGAACACACAAACATAAAGATCGCAGTGGTAGAACGCGAGTGCTGGCCTTGATTAAAATAAGACGTAAGAGGCCGTCCAGATCCATACTTCGACGAACATCGACTTGAAAATGTTGTACACAAGGACAAAGAAAGAGAAGAAAATCCACTTGTCGTGTGTCAGTCGTGTTTT